GATGTGTAGGGTGTTGTTCTTTATGTCCTCCCTCCTCTCTGGCTTTTAGACTCTTAGAGCCCAGGTTAGTTGATTTTGTGGATTTTCTTTTGGTGACTTTGATATCACTGGCCCCTACACTCCATCCTTGCCCTGTTCTAAAGTGTATTTGTGAGCTCCACCTAATGTTTGGCTGTAGTCTCTGCATATTTTTCCATCAGTTGCTTTGTGGTGAAGCCTATATGATGACAGTATTACTAGATATCAGTCTATGAGAAAAGCAGTATATCATTTCATTGACTTCCTTTGCTATTCATATTTTTGCTATCCTAATTCTCTGGGGTATACTGCCTCTGGGTGCTGGCCCTCAGATGGGAGCCCCTCTCTGGACATGGGTCTGTGCTCTGCTGATCATTATTTGTTCATTCCCCCAAATGCTGCCACAACTTTATCCAAGCAAATTTTCTCAGCAGGACAGATTGTAGGTTGAAGGCTTTGTATCTGGGCTGGTGTCCCAGGCCTCCCACAGGAAATCTTGCCTGGTTAGAAGAGATGGCTAGTTCAGCTGCCATATTCTATGTTACTGTGTCACCTTCATTGATTCCTGAGGGTGTTTCCATTGCTTTAGGTTTCCATCTCATCCCTATGATGCCCCCATATTCCATTGTCTCCCCTAATTCTCTCTCAACCCATCCTCCACCCACATGATCCCTCCTGTTCCCATATCCTTTCTCCCTTCAAAGACTCTCCCCCATCCACTAGCAATGTCCATTTTACTTCCTCACAGTGAGATTCATGCATAACCCCCCCTTGGGCATACCTAATTATTTAGTTTCTCTTGGTCTGTCAGTTGTAGCTTGGTTCTCCTTTACTTCTGATGTCATAGTCACTTATGATTGAGTACATACCATTCTTGTATTTCTGTGTCAGAATTGCCTTAATCATGACTATCTTTTCTACATCCATCAGTTTGCCTTCAAATTTAATGATATCGTTGTTTTTAACAGCTGAGTAATACTCCATTATATAAATAAACCAGATTTTCTGTATCCATTTTTCTATTGAGTTTATTTACAGTTTCTGACTATTACAAATAAAGATTCTATAAACATAGTTGAACAAATGTCCTGTGGTATGGATTGTTCTTTAGGCATATGGCCAGAGTGGTATGGTATAACTGAGTCTTGAGGTAGATCGATTCCCAAATTTCTTGGAAACTGCCATATTTATTTCCAAAGTGGCTATATAAGTTTGCACTCCCATCAGCAGTGGAGGAGTGTTCCTCTTGTTCCATGTGCTCTTCACCATAAATATGTCAATGGTAATTTTGATCTTAGCCATTCTGACAGGGGTAAGATAAAATTTCAGTGTTGTTTTTTATTGCATTTCCCTGATGGCTAAGGATTTGAATATTTCTTTGACTATTTCTCAGCCGTTTGATATACCCCTGTTGAGAATTCTCTGTACATATCTGTACTTCATTTTTAAATTGGATTGTTTATTTTATTGATATCTAGTTTCTTGTGTTTTTTATATGTTTTAGGTATTGCACCTATGTCCAATGTGGAAGTGGTTAAAATCTTTGCCCATTCTGTGAATGGCCTTTTGTCCTATTGACAGTTTCCTTTGCCTTCACAAGTGTCTCAGTTTTATAACATCCCATTTGTTAATTGTCAGTGTTATTGCCTGCTCAATTAGTATTCTGCTCAGAAAGTTGTCTCTTGTTTCAATGTGTTCAAGGCTATATCCCACTTTCTCCTTTATCATGTTAAGTGTATCTGGATTTATGTTGATGTCTTTGATCTTCTTGGATTTGATTTTTGTACAATGATAGATATGCATTTATTTGCATTCTTATACATTCAAACATCCAGTTTTACCAGTGGCATTTGTTAAAAATGTTGTTTTTCCTATTGTGTAATTTTGGCTTCTCTGTCAAAAATCAAATGTCCACAGGTGTGTGTATTTACTTCTGGGTCTTTGATCTTATCAAAAGAACAATCTCTCCGTTTATAATGACAAAAGGATATGAGTTTTCTTACTAGTACTTTGTGGTATAGCTTTAAATCACAGATAGTGTTGTTATTTTCTCGTCCAAGATTGCTTTAGCTACCCTGCTTTTCTTTTTATTTTTTCATACAAAGTTGAGTATTGTGATTTTTTTTAAAGATTTAAAGATTTTTTTTAAGATTTATTTATTTATCATATATACAGAAGAGGGCGCCAGATCTCATTACAGATGGTTGTGAGCCACCATGTGGTTGCTGGGAATTGAACTCAGGACCTCAGGAAGGGCAGTCAGTACTCTTAACCTCTGATCTATCTCTCCAGCCCCGTATTGTTATTTTCTGATGTGTAAAAAATTGTGTTAGAATTTTGATGGGTATTGCATTGAATCTGTAGATTTCTTTTTATAAGCTGACCAGTTTTACTATGTTAAACCTGATGATCAATGAATATGGAAGACATTTCCATGCTTTGAAATCTCCAATTTCTTCCTTCAGAGTCTTTAGGTTTCTGTCGTACTGGTTTTTCACTTGCTTTCTTACAGTTACACCAAGATATTTTATCTTACTTGTGGCTATTGTGAAGGATGTTGTTTTCCTGATTTCTTTATCACCCCATTTATCATTTGAATATAGGAGGGCTACTGGGTTTTTTTTTTTTCAGTTGTTTATGAACCCAGCTACTTCACTCAAGATGTTTATCAGTTATCAATCTCCTTGGTAGAATTTTTGGTATAGATTATGTGTACTGTTGTATCACCTGCAAATAGTAATTTTTTGACTTCCTTTACAATTTGTTTCCCATTATTCTCCTTAAGTTGTCCTGTTCTGCTAGACAACACTTCAAGTACTGTATTAAAAAGATGTAGAAAGAGTGGAAAGTCTTGTCACATTCCTCTTATTGTGTAATTGTTTTGACTTTCTCCCCATTTAATTTGATGATGGCTATTGGTTGCAATATATTGCCCTTAGAATGTATAGGTATGTCCCCATATCCCTGATCTCTCCAAGATATTTATCATGAAGGGGTGCTCCTGTTTGTCAAGGGATTTATTTGCATCTAATAGGATGATCCTGTGGTGCTTTTCTTTCAGTTTGTCTATATGATGGATTTAATTACAGATTTTTATATGTTGAATCATCCTTGCATCTCTGGGATGAAGCCCACTTAACCAGTTTGGATTATCTTTTTGTTTTCTTGGATCCAGTTTTGTGAGTCCTTTATTGAGTATTTTACATCTATGTTCATGAGGGAAATTGGTGTGTAATTCTATTTTTGTTTTTTTCTTTTTGTGTTTCAGATATCAGGGTAACTATGACCTCATAAAATAATTTGACAATATTCCATCTATTTTTATCTTATGGAATAATTTGAGGGGTATACTTATTAGCACTTCTTTGAATGTCTGGTAGAATTATGTACTCAAACAATCTAGTCCTGGCTATTATTGTTTGGGACACTTTTAATGACTGCTTCTATTTCTTTGGGGATTATGCATCTATATAAATTGTTTTGAACTTCATATAACTTCAGTAAGTGATATCTAACACAAATGTTGTTCACTTCTTTTATATTTTCCAAGTTTGCAGTGTAAACATTTTCGAAGTATGACCCAACGATTTCCTTAATATCCTAGGTTTCACTTGTTATGTCTCTCTTTTCATTTCTGATTTTGTTAATTTGGATATTTTCTCTCTGCCTTTTAGTAAGTTTGGATAAATGTTTGTCTACCTTGTTGTTTTTCCTCAAAGAACCAACTTGAAGTTTCATTGATTGTTTGCATTGTTTTTTTTTTGTTTCTATTATATTGATTTTCGTCCTCTATTTGATTACTTCCTGAATTCTTTTTTTTCTTTTTTCTTTCAATTTATCTTTATTGCAAAGCTTTATAACAAATTATTTAAAAGTAAAGGCCAATTTTTAGTCCCCATTTAGTTACTTCCTCCATTTCACTCTAAGCATACTAAAGTTGAATATGTGAAAATACCTGTTAATGTTCAACATTATTTTTAATATATTTGATTTACAATGTGAAAATTAAACACTCAGTTGGTACATCAATTGTCAAGCAGCTTATTTTTATAATTCAGAAATAAGTTATCAGGTCAGTCAAAAGACAATATTTAAATTCAGGGACAGTCCATGTTTATCACCTAAAAATCTTGATTGACCAAAATTTAAAATCAAACAGCCTTGATTCCATAATACTTTCTTCAAAGAAATTTAATGTATGGTTTTTGAGAAATACTTTCAAAGATACCTACATTGCCGGCATTACCATCTGATTGATACTTTTATACTCTCTTCTGGCATTCCATCTGATGATACTTTCAATCATAATTATGAAGTCAGGTATCTAATATTTATATGGTCAAAGTTCACTTATATATAAGCCAAGTGGGCTCACCCTTCCCCAGTTTTTGAAACTCTGATGTGTTGATTTTGGTTTATCCTCAATATAAAATTTCTATGACACTTTTAACATACCACAAAATTGATGACACTTTCAGGGCAAAGCAGAACTGGACAGTCCTTCAGTGCTGCAGCACTGAACTAACTGCTCTGTTATGCTGCCTGGCTGAACACTGACATTCTTTAGTTACAAGTGTAAAGACATCTACCTACATGAGTTTAAAAATTGATCTGCACAAAAGAAATTAAAAAAAATTATATACAACAAATTGGTTTTTAAAAATACAAAAATAACATCTGTCACTTCTGTCATGCTGACAACCTGACATATATACGCATGCATGAAAAGTTCCAACTCGGTCATCTGAACAGCTGTGCTCTAATATGATGAAGAAACTGCCACTACGTTTTTACACTGACAGAAAGTGTATTCAAAATATCTCATATACTAAATACTGCAATAGTCTCTCACGTATAAATGCTGGTTATAATAGTTTTTGCTTAAATTAAAAGGGTCTTAAGTTAACATTAAGTGCACTAAAATTCGTACAGTCCAGAAATCTATGACCTTACAATAAAGAAATCCAAAACGTACAACTATAAAAAGCAAGGAACATTTACTGCCATGTAAGACTTTAAACTGAAAACTGCAAGGAAATGCAATTTAAAACAGCAAGCTCAAATATATGTAACACTCAAAAGGGTCAGCAGCAAGTTCTACCAACAGTAGACTTAAAAAAGAAAATACATTCTCTTTGCTGGTATAAATCGTATCTTCAAATCTTAGAACAAGCCATCTGTCCTCTAGCTTAAGAGATTAGCTCTTTTACAATTGTTTTAATGAAATCTTTCTTCTCAGTTAAATCATAAGCAGGATAATTTTCATATACCTCTTTGCAAATCTTCATTGTGACTTCCTCCAAGTTAGAATCAGCCAGTAATTTTTCACTGTTTCCTTTAACTCTTCATCTGTAAGTGGTTTTTTCAATTTTTTAATTAATGGTTCATCATCAGAACTATCTTCAGATTCAGACTCTTTTTTGGAACTGTTTTGATTCTTCTTGGTGGTGCTGCTATCTGCCTTCTTAACATTAGCACTTTTTACAGACTTTTTACTTTTAGCAGCAGCTTTCTGTTTTGCTTTTTCTTTTTTAGATGTCTTTTTTGGTGGTTGCTCCTCTTCACTTTCTTTCTCTTCATCTTCTGAAGACTCTTCCTTATTTTTCTTCTCATCTTCATCACTACTAGATTCATCTGACAGAATTTCAGGACATTTGGTTTGCTTTGACTTCCTTGTTGTTCCAGAACTGTTTCGTTCCTTTTTACCACTTTTGCTTGAGGATTTTTTGGGTTTTTGCAATGGTTTGCCGGAAGGCTTTGGATGCATCAAGAAATTCAAGATCCTCTTCACTAGTTTGCTGTTTACACCTGATCTCTAAATCGAGAACCTCACAGATGCTCTTTAGCATCGCATTCCTAAACTTTTTCAGCATTTCTTCCTTCTTTTTATACTGGGTACTGCCCTTTTCAAATGGAAAGCCACTGAACTGACCCACATTCTTCTTTAATGAGGATACTGTGCCTGGTCTGTTGTAAAGCAGTTTGTGTAGATTTCTAAGTTCATCTGTTTTTTTCTTACTCAGAAAGAAGTGTATCCTTTCAATTTCACATAGTTTCTGACCCTTCCCTTGTTCAATTGTAAATGGCTCTCTTTGTAAGGAAGACACTTGCATTGTCAATCTCTCTACTTTCTTCTTTTCTCTCTTGCCTTCCACAATGAGGCTCTTTTCTTTTTCTTCCTCCTCGTACTCGTCGTCATCCTCTTCCTCCTCCTCATCCTCCTTACTCTCGTCCCTGGCGCCTGGCATTTCGGGCTCCTTCTCAGACGCGGGCTTCGCCGGGCGTCCTCTCCCTCTGCAGCGGGGGGGGCAGCCGCCAACATGCTGGGGGCCTGCGGGCAGGGAGGAAGCCGCTGGCTTAGGTTCCCTCGCTTGCTCGCACCGCAAGACCAACCCTGGCCACTGCCCAGGGGCGGGGGAAGCTTCCTGAATTCTTTGTAGTATGTGTGTCTGCTTCTTATTGTGCTAGAGCTTTTAATTGTGCTGTTAATTCTCTGGTATGAGAATTCTCTAAATTCTGCTTTCAGGTTCTTAGTGCTAGGAGCCTTCTCTTAACACAGCTTTAATTGTGTCCCATTAGTTTCGGTAGGTCATGGAATTATTTTAATTGAATTCTAAGAAGTGTTCAATAACTTTATTTCTTTCTTGACTCATTGTTAATTCAGTTGGGAGTTTTTCAGTTTTCATGATTTTATAGGCTTCCTATAGTTTCTGTTATTTTCAAATGCAAATTTTACTCACAGTGGTCTCATAGTATATAGTGCGTTATTTCAATTGTTTTAATCTGTGGATACTTGATTTGTAACTTAGTATATGATCACTTTTGGAGAAGGTTCCATGAGGGAATGAGAAACAAGTATAACCTTTTGTGTTTGGGTGAAATGTACTATAGATTTATGTCCTGGTCATTTGCACCATAATATTTGATAATTCCATTATTTATCCATTTAATTTCCTTCTGGATGGCATGTTCATTTGTAAGAAAGAGCGGCTGAAGTGTCCCAGTATAAATGTTTAAGATTTGGCTTTTGATTTAAGTGTTAGTCCTGTTTCTCTTACAAATATGGGTGCCATTGCATTGGAGAATAAATGTTAAGAATTGAAATGTCATCGTGGTGGATATTTACCTTAATAAGTATAAAATATCCTCCAAATTATTTTTTGAATAATTTTGGTTTGATTTCTCACCTTTAAATTTAAATTAACCAATCTTTATTAATCTTTGTATTGTCACAGGTCCTATGGCTTTACCTGTCCTCGAGTACCTTGCTCCTTGGGCATCTCAGATGTGTCTCTCCACTGTGTCCTTCTTCTTCCCCTCTGTAGTTTAGTTTGTCCAACTAACATGATCTAGCCAGGGTATTGGTCAATATGCTTCTTTATTAACCAATCAGAACATAGTTTACACAGGGTATAGAAATATTCCAAAACATTTTCCTCTGTTTTTGTCTAAATTAATAGGAAGGTTTTAGCATTAACATAGTAAAGCTATATAAAATGGAAAAAGTTATTAAGAATTACAGTACCAATACCCAATCCATTTGTGTTTAGCAAAAGTAGAGAAAATAATTATGTAACATATCTTAGTCTAAAGTTTTGTATCTAATTTACTTTCCATTATAACTAAGGAATATTCATTTATAACTATTTATTTTTCAACTCCATCAAATCCCAG